TTTTTTATTTCTTTGATTTGACATGACAGCTTTGATATAGATATGATAATTTAAGGATTGAATTTATAAAAACAAAAAAAAGGTATAAAACAAATAAGTATAGCAAGTATTATATAAGTATTATTTATATATATATATATATACTATAATATTAAGTAAAATGATGAAAAAATATTTTTTTTAAGATATATTTTTCGAGATAGAATAAAATAGAATAAACAGAGAATTGAGGATCAACATCATCTCTTAAATATATTGGAAAGATGTTACAAATGTAAATATAATTGATGATTTTATCTTTAATCTAAACTAAATTAAAAATTTAAAATAATTTAAATATAAGAAAAATGACTAATTTAAAATTTAATTCGTAACAATATCGTCTTTCAAAGATTAATATTTTTTTTTAAATTTTTTTTTAATTACCAAGTTAGGTTTTACTATAAAGAAATACATATGAAACACTCGTACTAAACTTTGAATGTACTAAAACACTCTAACGATATAAATGTATTTTATGCACTAATAATTAATGTTCATTTAAATAAGAAATTAATTAAAAAATGTCTTTATCGTTAATATGAAAAATAATTTTTTTATTATTGTTTATTAATTTTTTAATAATTATTCAATTCTTGTCATTAATTTATTCACTCAATTATATATTATAATTTTAATTATTAATTCTTGTAAAAATAATTCGATAATATTCTTCTGAATAAGAATATTTTTTTAAAATTAAATTAAATTAAATGAAAATCTTTTTCAGATTTTTATTATTATTCATTTATAATATTTATTTCTGATATGAATAATACATAAATGTAAAGATTATCACTCAATATTATAAATTTTTGCTAACATATTTACAATTTTAGTAATAATTGGATGTAATATATAGTATTATATTGAAAATTAATTGTCTTAATATTTCGAAATGTTAAATAAGTTTTATCATTTTCTTTTTATCTTTATTATTTTTTTCTGTTAAAAATACACACAGTTTGAATATTTATATTAATTTTTTTTTTATTTATATACTTATAGAAATTGGATTTTTTTCATCTTTTAAAGGAAAAAATCAATACATTATGATTTGCGGTGATCTAAATGTAGCAAACCTGATGGCTTCACTCGGAAAAAATAAAAAGAAAAAAATATAAAAAAAATAAAAAATACAAAAATTGCATCGAAAGATTCGTTTTTTAAAAAATTTATTTCATTGTGATTTGCACAAATGTATAACCGTGTATTTATTAATTATCAATTAATTACTTATTGATTAATTATAATTAATTAAGATCTGAAAATGAATGTTAGAATAATAATTTTTTATAGTTTCAATTAAATTTTAATTTATTAATAATTATAATTTTAATAATTTGGAATATATATTTGGAACTATTAATTAAAAATAATTAAAAAATTTAAAATTTTTACAAGAGAGAATTTAATCTATTTGAATTTAATTTATTCGAAGGGATACATCATCGAATGACATATATATGGTAATAATAGATCGAACGATCGACAAATAATAGATACGGAGTCTTTTACGAATCGGTCAAAGAAAGAGAGAATCTTGAAGAAAATCATTGAAGAAAAGGAACGTAAATGCAGCGTAATTATCATTATTAAGAGTAATATTAGAAGAGGTTCATAGAGAAATTTCTCGAGATACGAGCAAATCGTAATTGAAGAGCAATTTCGCAATATCGCTCTGCAATTCTGATTGAATAACACACACTCATGAATGCGCAAAACATTGGACAAAATCTGTCAATGGACTGATGTTTCTGTAATTTGTAACGCGAGGCTTTTACATCAAAATTAATGAGATTAGAATTATTAGAAATATTCTCGCGGGCAACGGTGTATATTGACCCTCGCCTCGAAATATCGTTTCAATATTTTTCGTTTTCTAATTTTACTATTAATATACATATGTGTAATATACATACATGTTTCATTTTGTATTGACATATAGTGAAGACGAATGGTAAATTAACGATCTCAAAGATTTTTCAAGGATTACGAATTTGAATTTTAAACGTAGAAAACGTGAATTGTATTCATTCGTGAGAGTGGTTATCGTTACTTACAAGAAGGACCGAGATGGCTGAAAGTGAGTAAATTTTGTTAAAAGTTGCGAATCATAATCAAATTAAATAATGTCGAATAATTGAACAGTGAGAAGTTTGACGAATATGAATTGAAACTGCTAATTGAAATTGCACAAATTACACAATGTACACTATCGTTCATAAATATTCGGATAGTTTGATTGATTTGCAGTAATAATATTTTATCAAAATTGTTATAAATTATCAATTAAACTAATTAATTATAAATTTAATAATTTTTTATTTTTTAAAATTACATTATGGAATGATTTTTTATGAGATGATTTCATGAGATAAGTTACTAAATGTAAATTAATAGATTTCTTATCGAAAAGATTGCGAGAATTTTATCAGAATAATTATTGAAGAATCAATGACTTTCTTGAAAAATAAGAGTTTTATTATGCATTTTATGAATTAATTGTATAATATCATGTACAAATATATATATAATATTCGAATATTCTTAAATGTTAGTGTAATTGTATAGTAAAGGATAATTGATTTATTTCTTTTAGATCTTCAACTTCTCCGAGATAATCCATTCTCTTTTCATTTTTTTTTTTATAAATTAATCGTGAAACGTTAAATTAAAAGTATGAGATAGATTCAAATATTGATATCATTTGATATCATGCATAAATTTTTCTGATCCTTTTTTTGATTTCCTTGACATTGATTGTAATAAAAAAAAAAAA